TAAATTAAAGTAAGTAGTGTGTGTGTGTGTGTGTGTGTGTGTGTGTGTGTGTGTGTGTGTGTGTGGTGCGTGTGCGCGCGCATGTATATATGTATTATACATGTATATATGCAATAAATCTCATCAATTTATTATTTCAGACTAAAGATAAAAATGTCGTAAATTATTTGTCCGTGACATTTTGACTAAATGCCCCACTAAAACTAAAAGTCGTTGCGCCAAGCAAAGCCGGAAGGTAATCGAACGAACGGAAGGGAATATAGTAATGGCAATAGTACTCCATAACGCTCGACTAAATTTAATAAATAGGCACTTCCGAATTACACGATCGGATTGGTCTATAACTCCTTCCGATTGCAGCTCCAAAATCGTCAATACGTTAACCCCTCCGAATCCTCGGAACGAAAGATAATACGTACTTTTTCACGGAAGTCCGTGGATTTCCGAGGACATATCGTCGACGATCTTTGAATCACCTTTGATCGTGCCGCAACTATCGATGAATAGTCGATGATGCTACACCAGTATGATGTCCAGATGTCTATGAAACATTTGTTTCACTACACTTTTGCAACGGTTCTCTCGTCGAATTACAAAATCGCGTAGAAAATCACCGTTATTTTCACCGTGCCGAAATGGATTGTCGCTGAAGCACTCGTGCGTTATTTTGCTCTCTGGTATTTTTCAATTATGTTTACGGACGGCGACGGCTTTCGGATAGAATGAATGATTAGCTTCGACGATACAATCGCATGATTTCTTCGGGGCTTGATAACAAAGGCTTAATATATTTAGCTTATTTGACAAGTCTATATGTCTGTTCTTAACAAAAAAACATCTCCAAATCTGAAAATATTTTCTTACATATTTTATGATTTATTATAAGTAAACAAAATTAAGAGTTAATTCTTTTTTTTATCCTAATATGAAAAAAAATAAATCTAATTGAATTTTATTTCATTGAAAAAATGAGTTTAAAAAATGTATGCAACACTTGATAAAATCATTTTAATAGTCATAACATATCATTTAAAAAATGATATGTCAACTATAACCATCACTGTTATTATATTTAGCTAACATTTAATAATATTTTTAATATTTTAATATTTTGTATTTGTCGGAAATATTTAAATTTTGACACTTCTCTTGAATAGGAGACTATCTCTGCTTCTGTCCTTTATATCAAGCGACAAAGATTTATCGGCGTAATCACGCGTATGGTACACGCCGGTGACAACACGATTATTCGTGGTTTCTGATCGGCGACGTACGATCGATTCGGAAATATTATACTTCCGGGACAAGCGGTCGCCGAGCAAACGATCGTCAATGTACGTCATAAATCTATCGAACGATCTGCACGCCGCCGGATTTCGTACGAATTCATGCTCGAGTCAAACGGACACGGAATCGTTAATCAATGCCGAAAAAGAGACCACACGTTTCTTTTATCACATAAAAATTACGAGCGTCACGCATCATTATCGCGAAAATATAACGACTCAAAATGTTTTCCGTTATTTTTCAATTTTGCATTGAAAAGGCGTGAACTCGCGAAATGGTAACGTCACGAAATCGACGTTAGCCAAATCGGAGTGAATGGACGTTCAATAAATCGATAAATCGTTGAAATTACCAATATAATTGAATAAATCTATCTAAAAATAATATCAGTCCAAGATTTGAAACTGTCGAATTTATAACGAAAAGTATCTTTAATTTTTTAATATAAATGTTATTTTCGATTAATATAACATTTAGATAGTAATACCACGCCAAAGACGTTACGTAAATTTATCGATAAAGATTTTTATAACAAATCGCAATGAATAAATAAAACTTAAAATACAACAAATTTTATTTCTAAAATAAAACTAATTAAATTTTTTTAAACATTATATATTAATATAATATGCGAAAAGAAGTTGATAATATGCAATTTTCAAATACGTTTCCGGTCGTTTCCGATTAAAGATCAGTAACATGAAAAATTTCGAAAATTTCAAAATCAATACATTAACGTGAACGCGTTGATCAAGATTACAAATTCGCAATGAAAGCGTCCGTTATGAAAACTTCGAGATCACGTGACCGTCAATCCTCGCCTTGTCAACTTCAAGTTCCTCCAATCTTCCTTATACACGTTGCTCGATTTGTAACACAAGAACATACCCGACAAGTGAACCGATCCCGAACTTCTTTTTGCTCTCGAAGGGACAATCGTTCCGCGAGAACAAGAACGAGGAAAGCAAAAACTCGTGCTGCAACTTGTCCCGGCTGATCACGCGCGAACTTACGGCGGAGATCCTTCGTCGTAGGGATCCTCTTCGAAGAAGAAGAAAAAGGATCGAAAGTCGCGCACCTACGGAACGAACTCCGAGTATGGGAAACAGGATCCTCAATCTCAATGAGGCCCACTCGACGAGGACTTCGGAAAGTTCGCCGCTACGTCGAGTCGGGCCAGATTTTCCGAGCGGGGGTGAAACGCGGAGCACCTGCACCAGGACACGACAACAGGTCGAAGACAAGCGCGGACCGATCGACGCGACCGGTCGACGCGACACTCCACGACGAACTTAACACGACGGCATCCCGAAAGCCCCTTCAGCCACGTCGCGGCTACTGCTGCTGAATGCTGGCTGGCTGGTGCTGATGGTGGTGCCGGTGCTACTGCTCCACACCGCGTATATACCGCACGATGAACACGGACACGCGCGCTCAACCCCTGCGCGAGCGCAATACCGGCGACGATTCCGGCAGTAGGGGGACTGTTTGATACCTGCCCCTTCGGAAGACACTTTTACCGCCGACGCGTCTCGCCGATGCGCCGATGAGAGGACACGTAAGAATTGCTACCGACCCATCTCACGATGTAAGAATGGTCAACAATAGAAAAAGAACATAAAAATGTAAGACCTCGTTTATGGGATTACTTCGCACTTGCAAGAATAACTTTGTCACGGTAAAAGTATGAAAAACATCTAGGTATCAACTCTAGGTACCAACAAACAAAAATTGAACGATATGTAAAGGAAATAAAAATCAAAGTTTCTTAATTGAAAAATATTCTATATTAATTAATCTTTTGAAATAACGTTAAAATTATTTAAAATTAATATGATGTTAAATTATTCTCGCTCACAGTAAAGAATATATAAATAAAAGTTACTATTTAATTTGACGAAGAATATTAAACTTGTCAATAATATAATGGTCTTTTATTATTTATTTTTTAGTTCAAGCTAAAACGCTAGATCGATCATGTTTCTAATTAATATTTATTTGAAAAATTAATATTTTGGATATTCATCTATCTAGAATTAGTTAAGTTTTGACGGCATTTAAATTATGTATTATAACATGTATTATAACGTGTCAATTTTTATTAAAATAGACATGTATGTAATTATTTAAATAACATGAGAGTCATTATTTATAAAAGTAAACGTTTTATATTTATCCATCTACATTTATCTGTCAACATTCATTAAATTAATTGCTAGCACATTTATCTTTAATAACAATCTTAGCTGGATGAAAAGATCCAATCAAGACTATACAGAACAAGACCATCTTTAAAATATCAACTTTAAAATATCAACGACAATACAAACTTCTCATTTTATAAATGTATGTGCATGTTAGTAAACAGTGTTATTAATTATTGATCATAGATATGATTAATAATTACCATTTTTTATTAATTATTATCATAAATATGATTAAAATAGTAATGATAAAAAGAAACTCTAGTGTTAAGATTTTATTAAGGAAATAAAATTCATTCATTAAAAATATCTACATTATATGATTATATATTCCATGTAGTACAAACGAGAATATGTTCATTTTAATCTATCTCTCCACTTATATTTCTGTCGGACCCCAGAAATTAGCATCGGACATCGAGAAGCCATCATTCCCCGGTAATTTCCATCGCTTTCCGGAGAAACGCAAAGTAAACCAAAGTAGAGGGTGAAGGAGAAGAGTGAAGATGAAGCAACGCCACGAGTATCGGCAAAGGAGCGGGAAGAATTTTCAAGGAACAAAAACATCCGATGAGAGTCGGTAGCGGCAACTTGTTCGCCATGTCTAAAACCGAGAGCGAGATCAAACGCATTCGCGCAGCCCGCGTTTCGTTTGACGTCCATCGTCTGGAAAACGTAGCTTTCGCTACGGGGCTGCCGCGGAATCCGCATCTTGACGTCCCCTCGACGCGGCGCGGGACTGCCGCAATATCTTTCGGCATGTAACGTAACAGCGCACGCCGGCAGGGCTGCGGGGTTGTGTTGGACGCACGTTGCTGCTCAGTTTGCGCGCATCCGCGTCGACAGTGCATCCTCCACTGGATCGAGCGTTTATTCACTCGTGAGGAATTCTTTGATATCTACCTACCACCTACCTACCTACCTCGCGGGGAAATGTTTTGCCAACCGTTCGCGAGATTCCGCGAGATACCTTCGGGACGTGTACACGTATACGGTACAGCCGGCGTGCTAAACGTGCGTTTACCGCATTCGGAGGTCTTTATTGTAAACAGATCCAATAAGCGCGAGTATGCACCGCAATCCGGCTGTAATAACAGGAAATGAGATTACCGTTATTTATGTAACGACAAAAGAGAAGCAACGTCAGGAGAAATGAACGCAATACGATCATACATACGTGTATAGGATCATTTTATTCCTGGATTTATGAAATTATAAGCTTGAAATTTGATCCGCGGGTGCAAACATTTTTAAAAAATTAATTATTTGTGTTTTTAAAAATGAATTAATTAAAAGCAAAAAAATGGCGAATGCTAATTTAATACGTTTGACTTATTGTTAGATATTCATGTTTTGTAAACTCGTACGTATATTAGCGGATATATTCCCATCGATGTAACATAGCAGACTCGTAAATAAGCGTTCTTAAGTGTAATCTCGATTAGGAGGAAATTTATTATCCGTAAGGAAGAACGGAATCGTATAAATTCCAAGGAGCAACGATTATCGCCTGAAGTTGAAAGCGAATCGAGATCGAAGATGTTGTTGCCACCAGCTCTGACTTCCCGTATACGAAATGTGCGGGTCTTTTACAACGGTCAGTGGCACTCTATTTACCTTGGATTTCCCTCAACGGCGGCTATACAGGGGAAAAGGAATCTGTGACGTGCCCGCAGAATGACTCGACACGTAGCAGCCGTTTCGTATACGATGGCGGATTTATTCGTCGTGCACGAGGAATCTTCTTGCATGGGAAGTTTAGGTGAACGTGCGACCAAATAAGGTGGATCTATCCGCAAATTGAGCATCTAAACTCGACGAAATGCTCTTTCTTCCTTTCTCTCAATCTCTTTATATCGTTACGCTTAACTGAATACAGAAGAATTTAGTTTTGTACCATAACACTGCAAAAATGCTGCTCTTATTAGTTCTTTAATTTTTATATATTTCTAAAAAAAATAATAATAATTCGCTCGATAATCAATTAGATGAGAAACGAGCAAGTTAAAATAAATTACAAAAAAATAATTTTGTTATCGCCGCCATGATAATTTCGCGAGTGAAACAAATTTTACCTCGTCGAATAATCCTGACCGATGTTGTTAAATCCGCACAACTTTATCGGGCGGTAAATTCTCTAGCGTGACAGATTTCTTAAAATATTTTCAATATGTTGAAGCAAAAACACACACACAC